AAAAGCTTCCTTTGCCGTTCGATTAAATAGGATTCGAACGCATGAAAAATCTCTCGGCTCCGTTCCACTTTCCCTTTTTCTCTTGGCTATATCCTTCCTTTGATCGTTCTTTCGCCTTTCACACCGTGACTCACGTAAGCTGCTGAGATATCTCTAGTGTAATATCAAGGATATTCGCTGGATGCCTTGTTAAATTCCCGTTGATAGATTAAATAATTTTAAAAAATCTATATTTCCTATTCGGCTATGGAATTTGTGAAGGATCGGCGAGCCGTTGCTAAATTTCGTTTTGTGCACCTTAGTGTGCTTCGGGCACATAGTGTTGGTACAAGTTTTACTCGGTGTGGACGAATTTGAACGTAAAGAGAGATAGGGAAAAGCGAGAGAGAGAGGGTGAGAGGGAGAGAGAGAGAGAGAGAGAGAGAGAGAGAGAGAGAGAGAGAGAGAGAGAGATTTTGGAACGTGGTTCAAATAAACAGGCAAATTAATTGATGCATTTTTGTTTTGCGGATTAGCATCATTTGGCAGACATTGGCACAAAATCCAAAACAAACTTACAGATAAATTAAAGCAATCAGAAAAATTTGTGTCTGAGACCTGTGAAAGGAGAGATAGATTCCTTTTCATCCTTATATTTTTTTTTAAAGCATCACAAATACTGAACAACATTAGTAACAGAATACTATTCTAATATCTTAAGATGGATAACCTGGCTTATTATTAAATATATAAAGAAAAACGAGTGAGATAAAGTTATATGTACAGTGAATAAGACGGAGATATAGATAAATAAAGATTACTACATAAAATTCTTGGTTACAGTTAACAATGATGTATAAATAAATACGATCTTTAGGTTGTATTATAAATTTAGGTCAATTTAGGTTTTTTCAACTTTTCACTACCTTACCACATAAAAACGCTTACAACTTCCAAAATGTTGAGACTACAACAAATCCAATTACACCAGTTGAAAAAACGCTAAATTTGCTGTAAGATACTTCCATTTGCAATAATCTGAATGACATAAAATGTTAGCCAATATCAGTTGGAACATGTCAAAATTACAAAATGTAAAATTTTGGTCATGATTGCACGTTCTACTGAGGTTACAAAAAAGGGGTAGAAATTCAGAAAGTCAGTTATGCATTCGAGAAGCAACCACTTTGAGCATTTCCTCTGAAAAGTTCCTCCTTTGTTATTAGGTGCTTGCTACAAGAAGAACCGTTGCATTTTATTGTATGAAGCTTTCTGGCATGGGTTTTGTGAGATTACAGATGTGTCATTTTTATTTTACAAAGCGAGTTCTAATTGATTTATTTTTACCCCCCCCCTTCAAATTTACCTTAGCTCACGTTTTCGAACATTCAATTGTTATTTTTCAACTCTACTAGAACGTTATTTAAAAACCGTGAAGCATATTAGATGAAGAAGTTTTTGTAAAATTTGACCAGTTGTAGGTTTTTTTGTAACCTCAGTAGAACGTGTAATCATCACCAAAATTTTAAATTTTGTAATTTTGATATGTTCCAACTGATATTGGCTAACATTTTATGTCACTCAGATTATAGCAAATGGAAGTATCTTCAGCAAATGTAGCGTTTTTTCAACTGGTGTAATTAGATTTGTTGTAGTCTCAACATTTTGGAAGTTGTAAGCGTTTTTATGTGGTAAGGTAGTGAAAAGTTGAAAAAACCTAAATTGACGAATATCTTCAAAACAGAGAAATTAACGAAAATTTTCTCCTGAGCATTTTTTGCTCCAAACGAAGAGTAGAATCGATTCCCTGAGTTTCGTCAGAAGGAACTGGGACACCCAGTATACATATTATGAAGAAGAAAAAAACTAAACTGCAAGTATCCATAATAACTCTTGCAACAAAAATAATTAGTTTAATTATTTTTTACCAAAAAGGAGAAAATTGTTTGTGCCAGAAAGAGAGATAGAGAATATGTGTGTGTGTGTGTGTGTGTGTGTGTGTGAGAGAGAGAGAGAGAGAGAGAGAGAGAGAGAGAGAGAGAGAGAGAGTTGTTTGAGTGTGAGTGAGTAAGAGAGATTGGTAGAGCAAAACGGAGAGATAAATGACAGAGTGAGGGAGTAACATAGATAAAGTGAGACAGAGTTATTATGATTTAAGCAAATTTCACCTGTTCAAATGAAAAATACCACTCTAATAACTTCTCTAATTTTACGAATTTCTTTTTAAAAACTATTTGAAAAGAAATAAACCTTGTTCAATTTTAACAAAAGGTTGTTGCAATTATTTATTCATAAACAAAGTTTCAGCTTCAAATATACTGTGGGTTTCAACTTTTGGCTCATAAACTCCAGGTTTTCATTGCGGTTTCTTTTGCGTTCTTTTAGAAACTTTTCACCTTAAAACAAACCATATAATTTTTTAAATTATATTTTAAATAGTTTTATTTATTTATAGTAGTTTACGATGAAACTCTCTTAACTAGGTTGAAACGGTGTGTTACACCATTTTCGGTGACGTTTTTTCATGTTGTAATCTTCCTACTATGCAATGGACTTTTTCCTTCTGCAGATCTTCAACGCTAGATAGCTCATTCAGGTCATTTGGACTTTGGGGCATAGTTATTCACTGTCCTCAAAGAAAAAATACCCTGTCAGTTAAGTCCAAACTGCACCAAGCCAAAGAGATACTATGACGTTCCAACAGGTCATACTATCCTTATGATTTCTTAATATTGTGATATATTCTATAAGGGAATTTTCTAAAAAGCCTATTATTAGCATGTTTGTATTGTAGTTTGGTCATTTTTGTAGTTCTGGCGTACCTATGATCAGTGGTGTGTCAGGGATATAAGCAGGGAGAAACAGTAATTAATAGGTAAAACTAAAGTTGAAAAATGCCTAGACGGACAGACAAAATCAGCGAGGATAGATGGACGAAAATAATCGGAAACAAAAGCCGATTTGCCTCAATACGTGCCAGTGAATAATTGTGGCAAAAATATAATTGAACAAAATTTGCTTGTTGTTTTACCGTGAACTTTTGACGACAATTTTTTTGTTAAGTGAATGTTTTTCACGCTGAAGCAAATATCATTTTGACAAGATCTACAAGGTAGGTTTTTAATAGGTTTTAAAATTCCATTAAGCCCTCTTACTTATTGCGGCTTGAAAAACTTACTTATAATCACAATCTAAAGCTGAAGTGTGGTTAACTTGGTTGAACTCTAAGCAATTGGGTCGTTGCTTAAAAAACAAGATTGGCTTGGTAAATTTTAAAATAATCAAGAGGGAAAAACACGAAGTAAAGTTCAAGAAAATAAAATTTACACTTTAAAAAATATAATTAACTAAATCTAATTAACATATATTGATTATTATTACGCTGGATAATTAAAAAATACACATAATTATAAATATTTTAGCAAATCGAACGTGTTGAATTTTTTATTCATAGCGTAAGATGTTGAATTTTACTTCAAGTTCTAAAATGTTACAAATTCAAACGCAAATAACGCTTTGAATTTAAATGAGAACGATCTTGGTATTATTGCCCACCTGACATGAATATTTAACGTCGTCAGTAATTACAGAAAATACCTTGTATCTTCGAAATAAATCAGCGTAGCGAAAAATGACTAATTACATTTAATACGGCATTAATTTGTTTATGGAACTGAAATAAAATAGTTCTATATTTTGATGAATGTATTTATATGAGTTTTATCTCATGTTTTGGAATTTGTTCTTGTACGTTTGTCGTTGTATAGTTGTAAAAAATATTATTTATTTTTTTATATTTATTTTAATCTGTTACAGTCTCAGACATACAGATGAGGGTTGGTCTTCATTACAAACAATAATATATAATAGTAATAATAATTCAATTAATTAAGGTTTTTAAGTTGAGATAAAAAACGGTGAGGTTGAGTTGGGAAGTTGGTGCCCGAGTGGATCGAAGTAACGATAGCTCAAGTGGTAGAGAAGCGGCGTATCAAGCCGAAGGTCGTGGGTTCGAATCCCGCTCGTGACACTGACTTTTTTATCTTAACTTAAAAACCTTAATTAATTGAATGATATTAATTGGTTAAGCGGACCACGAAAAATAGTGGAAATAATAATATACGTTTGTAAAGAAAATAAAACAAATTTATCCCGACATTGCATACAATAAAATGCAGTGGTAACATTGGTAATAATTACCATTTATAGATATAAAGAAAATAAAACAACAAAATAAAATATCCTGTCATTACATTTGTTATAACCCTCCAGCAATAATAACAATATACATTTTTAGATACTTTAATGAAAATAAGACAAATTTATCCTGACATAATAATAATTAATAATATATTTTTTACATTTATAGATATTGCAAAGAAAATAAAGCAAACTTATCATGGCAACATACAATACAATAGTAATTATATTAATAAACATTTATAGATATGATCAAGAAAATAAAACGATTTAATCCTAACAAGCTAATAAAAATCGATGCTATGTTTTTAGAAAATATTTTACATANATCGTCAGATGCGGTCTGGTGTGATGTAGGTTTCAGAAAAACATTTTCTTTATCGTGCCAACGTTTCGATCTTTATTGAGATCATCTTCAGGGCCTGGGATTTAAAAACATGGTTTACATTTAACAAATACATGTAGAATGTGGGACAAAGTGAATTTATACAATACAATTGATGTATTTGTTAAATTTAAACAATGTTTGTAAATCCCATGCCCTGAAGATGATCTCAATAAAGATCGAAACGTTGGCACGATAAAAAAAATGTTTTTCTGAAACCTACATCAAACCAGACCGCATCTCACGAGTTCTGAATAATTATCGATTAACGATCACTAATCACCACACACAAACTTTGAACATAATAAAATATGAGCAAAAAATGTCTAGTATACGGATTCAATAACAAATAATTTCCTTTTTTGTTTATTTTTATTAAATTAAAAACCCTTAGATTTTTTAATATTAACTTTGTATTTTATGTTTTTTGTTTCAGGTTGGTGAATTTTGCAACAAACTATTGGTATTGGTAGGTAATTGATTATTTTTAAAGATTTTTTTTTATTGAAAGCAATATTGTGTTGTGACAATTATTGATTGAGTTTATGGTTTCAAAAACATTTCCTTGCTTACTGTTATATTAGCGTCGTTGATTTACAATTTGATATATTTTAAATAATATATTGTAATGAATAAGGCAAAAGATGGAAATTGTATAAACAAATTGGAGTTATACTATTTATTACAATTATGTATTTTCAATAGTTGTTATATATATTATAAAAAGTGTATATTATATTTTTGCCTCGATGGACCTCATTGTTTGATGTGAATGTTTAAATTAATAAACCCTTTCACGATTTTACTTAAAAATCAAGTTTGGGGTAAAAATCACGATTTCTTGGACAATTTTCGTTTTAAATATTGTCAGTCTTTAAGTCGGAGAATATCAGTAAGCAGAGCCGAAACGGAGAGGCCAAAATAGGAGATAGCATTAAAGGGACAAGAGACCATGAAGGACAATGAACTTTGAGAGAGAAAAATAATCAAGATCGTCTCGCAAAACGGATCGAAGCCGCTTAAAAGAGAGAAAATGAGAGGGCTCTGGTTCAAAACGTGTAATGTAATTACAAAAGCTTTTTTCCCAATAAGAAAGACATGCAGGTTTTACAAATGAAAATGATATCAGTTTAAAAGCGTTGGGAACTAGACACTGTTATTCCTTCACTCATATTCTATAGACTTTATAAATTTCCACATCGAAATTATTCGATTCAACGACAAGTGTTCAACTGGTTTTTCATTCATGCTCAACATTAAAACATAAATAAGACATGCCTTGAATCAAACATTCGTATGCGGGTCAGTCTAATTTCGTCGCGGAATCGATTTCCAAACGGGGTTTTTAAAAGTCCTTGGATTGAATCGATCTCGGGGATGATTTCTTTAAGCAGGACAGTGGGAAAATTTAAATAAATTTTCTCTCTGTGAAAGAACGTTCGTACGTCTTAACTCCGACCTAGGCGCAATATTAAACCGGGCGTTACGCTCAGTAACTCTCGAGATTTCAACGCTGTCAGCCGTATCATGAGGTTGAGTAAAACATTTAAAATTTATTCCGACAATAAGCTTACTAAGGTTTATAACTCTGTTGTAAATTACACATTGATATGCGTGTTCACCCTCGTCGGTGGTAATTCCGCTCTCATAACAGTTTGTGAATATACATGGGTTCCTTGTGCATATGTATATGTAATTACTGAGTAATGAAAGGCGGGCATTACCAAAATACGGAAAAAGGGAATCGCCCTCAAAACGCATAGAAACGCAAAGCGGGAAGATGGGAAGGCACTGTACAGCGGGGCAGCGTATTTTCGTTCCAAGTTCAAGCCCAGCTTCATGGGTAAGGACTCGCAGTGGCTGAGTGGTGAGACCCCTGGCGGGTACCGAGAGAAGAGGCTGTGTATTATTCGTGGCCGTGGACCAGAGCCCTTGCTTATGACCTCCAAATTACCTCCCGACCTCGTAGGAATCGGATTGCCGAGAGCATATAGCCAGCGATGAGCTATGACTACGCTGCCGGCGTCCCTCGAATGCGTGAGGAATGGTGGACGGGGTTGGGTGCTTGTTGGTGGCGGCCGTCAGAGCTGCCTTTACCATAGGCACGATCTCCTCTAGGGGGTGGTTAGAGATTCCACTAAAATCGAAACCGTGGATGAAGCGTATCCGGAAGTTTCGACGCTAGCGGAGCCCCTACATCCAGGGAGATAGAGTTGTCTTCTCTGTCTAGAAAGTGCGTGGGAGACTAGGGCGATGCATTTCGACCATCTTTTGGGTATGCCTTTACGCGCGGCTCTGGTTAAATGCACAACGTTAACCCCCACCCCCTCGGAAGAGCAAACGGGAGAAGTCAGCATGTCTATCGATTAGTCTGTGGATTTGTGGGCTTCTACACCAAATCTCACGGAACCAGCAGATTTTATGTGCGCGGAGGTGAGACGTTCCGAACTTAAGAATCTAAAACCTGTGATAAGACCTAATCGGCCAGGTGCGCACGCTAAAGAACCTCAATGTTACATGACATTGCGACCCCTACGGGAACGTATGTGCACGTAGAAATACAAAAAAAATAATTTCAAACAGTGATGCTCGTGGAGTCAACTCCGCTTCTTAGTATGAATGACTTATAAGATCAACTTATCCCTTTCTTCCCCAAAGTTGCCTCTGGCAACACCAATTTTAACAAATCTGCTTAAGTTTAGGGTGCACGGATTTTCCTTCAGTGCTTGTGTATTGACCACTGATTTATTAGATGCTAGTCTACAATCTTAATTTTGGAATCTTCAATCTTCAACACACCATCGCATCATGCATCGATTGTCATATTTGCTAAACATAAGATTTTACATTTCTATTTTTTAATTTAACCCTGACTTGCCAAAAGTTGTTTCAGAGCAATGCAAAGTTAGGGAATTTTGTTTAAGTTTCAGAAAATCCTGTGAGTTTAGAGCGGGCCCAGGGTTGTTTCCGTTCTCTCTCTGTCTGTATATTGGCAACATTGATTTATTTGGCGCCTAGCTAAACTCTCTATCAAATCATGGAATTTCCCTCTAACATTTTAACAAAATTGGTAATGTTTGTCTTCCACTGAAGTAGTATTTTTGTCTATATTGGCAGACCGTCTAAAAGAAAGTTCAGAAAAAATGGTTTTATAAAAATACGAAGCCCTGAAGATGATCTCAATAAAGATCGAAACGTTGGCACCATAAAGGAAATGTTTTCTAAACCTACGTCTCTCCAGACTGCATCTCACAAAATAATCAAAGGTAGGAAGTTAGAAGTGATCAGTATTTCACAGGTATGATTTATCCTAGATCCTAGCTCTTCACAATTCAAAAGTTGTGAGTAAACAACAGCACGCCTAAACTACCAGAGGCAAGTTGACAAAACCACGGAGGAAAAAGAAATAGCACTATGATCTTCATGGTCCGCATAACTAACGAAAAAGGCTTCAAACCTTGACTTTAAACCGTATATCATTATTAAAAAGTCGAGAAATGGGCTGCCCATCCATGGGCCCAGAACAGCAACTACGTGGACCATAGTGTGCTTAGGACAAATCAAGCTCTTATAAAGAAAATCACTCACAAAGGGTGGCGAAGGAATTACTCTCACTCAGCGAGTCTGTGTAATTACCAACTTAAAAAATGGGCAAATTGACACAAAATGACAATGAACAGAGCAGAAGCATCGGAAAAAAACTATGCGGCTGAAAAACATTAGCCTGGTACAGCCTCTATGGAAAGACAACAGACTTTAAAGCCTAATGAAATAAGCAAAGAGAAACCACAAACAGTGCTCAAGTACCTAAAAAGTGCACGTTCTGAGATATGGAAATAAAGATCAAAGTGAAAGAAAGAGAGGGTAGTCACCGGTGATCAGGAATATTTGTAAATATAAATATTTATTTATAACAACCATTATTGACTTTACTTGTTTGCTCATTCTTAAATAAATTTTATCGTCAATATTAGCAAGTTTTTTCAAGTTTAAACGATGCTTGACTAAAACGATTTGGACCAAAATTAACATATTTTTGCACTAGAGCATAAGATCCTTTTTATTTTGAAGTTATTTTTGAAAAATCGAGTCATTTCTCTTTTCCATGAGGAATTTCACTTTTAATATCCGCCCTGTGGAAAATATTGCAAAATCTTGCATTTCGTTTCGAAACAATTCCTTGTCAATACCGTTTCGTGTTTTATTTACACTTTGCGACAATAAAATGTTACTTTTATCATATCCGCTTTAGAAAAGGATAGAAACAAAGAGATAAGAAGGCTTTTTTGGTTCATTTAAGCAATGAGTTCGCTGAGTAGACAGGTAGGAAAAATAAACATTTATACTCAAAAGTAAGTGATATTTAATTAACTGTGCAAAAATATCAAAAGTTCCACTAATCCAAGTTTTCATTAAAATTACAGTTCTTACAAGACGAATCATGAAAAAAAATATAGGTTATACGTAAAGAGTAAAAACTTAGAAATAATAAAGGAAAAACCTTTTCCTGTATAATAAAATGAAACATAAGATTACCAAATCATGGAAAGAGAGAAAAATAGAAAAACGACATATTTATATGAACATAAAAATAATTAAAAAAAAAAGTGTTTTTGTAATGAACGAATTGTATAAACAACTAAAACACACAATTAATCCAACTGTACTTTAAATTTATAGAGCTTATAAAACGAATTATTTTTTAAAAAGATTGTAGGTTATCAATAAAGAATAACGTGGAAATAATAACAGAAAAACGTTTTTTTCTTATGCATTAAAATAAATAATGGTCACTAAACACCACACATTAAAATAAAACAAAAGATTAGAGCGAAAAATGAAAAGTCAGAAAAAAAAGAAAAAAGGACCTGTTTATATCCGCATATAAAAATTATTAATGTAAAAAAAGCGTTTTTCTAGTGGACGAACTGTATAAACATCTAAAAAACACAATATTTCATTTGTACCTTGAGTTTATAGAGCTTTTAAAACGAATTATTTCAATGTGGAAATAAAAAACAAAATGTTTTTTCGTATGTATTAAAATAAAACAAAAGATTAGAACGAAAAATAGAAAGACAAAAAAAGGAAGCTTATAAAACGCATTATTTTAACTTGGAAATAAAAACAGAAAATGTTTTTTCTTATGTATTAAAATAAAACAAAAGATTAGAACGAAACATAGAAAGACAAAAATTTTATAAAATATTATAAGTGATTCATAAAGAGTAAAAACGTTCAATATTAATAGAATTTTGTTTTCACTATGTAATAGAATAGAACAATAGATTAGAGCAAAAAACGAAAAAAAATCATATCTGCCCAGAAAAATAATTAATAAAAGAGATTAAACAAAAATAATTGTTTTTTTAAATGAACGAACTGTGTAAAAATATCAAAAAACATAACTAATCAAATTTATACATCTTAAATAATAACAGAATTTTCTACTATGTACGTAATAAAATAAAATAGAAGAGAAAGAGAAAATAAATTAGAATGATTTACTTGAACGTGTATGTGCGAATAAAAATAATTAATAAAAACGAAAATAATTGTCCTTCTAAAATATTAGGGTGGTCTCTCATTCTTTTTGTCTGATGCTAGGAGAAAAATCAAATCAAATTTAATTACAACACTGAAACTTTTCAAATCCAATATTTTTAATTGCTTAACATATTAAAAAACTT